GCCGCCCCGCCGCCCGGGAGGTCGCGGTGGGCCGGGCGCCTGGGTTCGTCTCCGCGGGAGGGGCTTCTGGCTGGGAAGGCTCTTGCCCGGAGGTGGGGATCGTGGGATTTTAAACTGCCCGTGCAACCGAGACGGGCCTTAATTTTTAATTTGCTTCGGGAGTTGGCAACTTCAGGGACACCATGGTGGCTCATCGTGCAGCAGAGCTAGTGACATTTCTCAGTGGCAGGTCCTGGCACAAAACTTGCAGTAATCTGTATGCCAGCTTAACATTAGTCGGCATGTGAAATTTGGGGTGCCCATCCCTACTTTTTGGAATTAAGGGCCAGGTGGGGATGTGTGGTGGAATCAGGCTTCCGGTAATGAAAATAGAATGTTGAATTCAGCCCTACAAACGTTTCTTGAACGTCTACCCCGATAAGGCGATATGCTGCTCTGTATGAGGACCGAGAATGTAGTAATCGTGATGATTCGTGATGATAAAGTGAATGAGACGCAGAACGTTTCCCGAGTACGTTGTTAATTGACTGTCTTCCTGGGAATAAAGGTGTATTTGTAATCAAAAGTAAACAGCCATCTACTTCAAGATGAAATGTCTTGACGTGTTCTCAACCCTAGTAGGCATAAATTTATCTTGACATTTTTTTTTAAGCCACCGACTCCCACAACATGAAATCTACTTAGCTTACTTGAATGAATGAATTTTAGAAGGAATGTTTAGTGCTGTGGAGAGTCAGTGTTATTTAAAAACCTGTATGGCGTTGTTCACCAAGTTGCACATATAAAACCGTTAAAAGTAGCCTGTGGTACTTGCCCTGTGCTAATTTCGCGTCCGTTCTGCATCACCTAGGGTGGATGTGGTAAGTGTCAGAATCCATCCCTGCTCTAAACAAGAGGTGGCCTCAACCGTTTGCTTCCAGCACCCTCCCTAATGTTTTCTTATTGCCTTTGGGGAAGCTGGCTCATTGACCTTAGACTTGATGAAGATTCTTAGAAGAACGTTTTCTGGGGTGTGGCGTGTGCTTTCCACTGTTTGGTCTGGGTAAGGATCAACCAGGTTATTCACCTGAACCTTTACCCTTTTGGGGACTCCCTTCAACATCTCTTTTGAAACTTTTTCCCTTTATGATGATCTTTAGCTATCTTCTGAATTGGTGAGAAGTACCTGGCACTGCCCGTTTCCCCTTCTTTTAGTGGGAAGACAGGCAGGCCTTAAACATGGCCTCCATAGGACCCAGGGGCACACCCTCAGGTGTCACCTGGCCCCTTCCCTTGGCAGCACCTTGCAGGGAGTGGCAGAGAGGGTTTGGGTGCCATTGAGCAGGGGGCTGGGAGGAAAAGCTCTGTGCTGTACTGACTGGATTCTGAGTCGTTTCGTGGTCCTGAGTGTTCCTTTTAATGGCCCTCTTTTTAGGGAACAGAAGCAAGTATCTTAAGACTTGTTATGTAACTTCACTGCTCAGAGAAAGTTCTGGTAGTTTTCTCCATTGTGGTCAGTTTTCGGGCAACTTTTGTGTTGTTAGTAGTATGTATCTTTTATTTTGCTCATAGAAGTAATTGTGTGATCTTCTTTATGTCATGATATACTCCCAGGAAAGAAAATGTTATGTCCATTGCTGAATTTGTGGCAATTGCTCTTACTGTTCTCTCAAAAATATGCCGTAATGTGAGATGGGTTAATAGACACAGCCCAGAAAGATGCTGAAGTTTGAGGTCAAATACTCCGTGTTATTTATAATCTGGTATAGCTCATGGACATGTATACAGTCAGGCACCACAGAAAGACATTTCAGTCAGTGACTGACTGCATATACGTCGACGGTCCCGTAAGGTTAGTACCGTATGGCCTAGGTGTGTAGTAGGCTATACCATCTAGGTTTGTGTAAGTGCACTCTGATGTTTGCGCAATGACGAAATTGCCCAGGGTTGCATTTTGCAAACTATCCCCATCGCTAAGATGCGTGACTGTCTTAATAAGGGTAGGTAGGTAAATGACCTACAGCCAGGACCACCTTGTGCTATTTTCTGTTTGTTACATCTTTTATGGGAAGTGAAGATTGTCTAATTCAGTTCGCTTGTCCTCATCCCTAACCTCTTCCAGTTTTGGAAATGGCACTTCTCTGGTGTCTGAGTACTTTTGTAAAATTATTCCTTTTACAAGGGAGAAATTTATAAATACTAGTATATGTCATAAAAAGGGGAAACTTTCTTGTATGGCTAGATGGATCGAAAGAGTTGACCAGGTAGTAAAAAAGAAACAACATTGGGACATGTTTTAGATTGTATTGAGAGTGAGATTGTCATTAATGTTTTTATGGTTAATTTATTACGCTGTATGGCATGTTGGTTTAGCTAATAAGTGGTGAAGGCGTTAGGACTAAGGGCACATTTTGCTTCAAACTGACTTCAGGGTCTGCTTTGATGATCCATACAAACATTAAATTTTACTTAGTGGGGACAGTTTTTAGGTGGCCGTTAGTCTTGTTGATGTTTCAAAAATAGGCATACTTAGATAAAGTCATTTAAGGTTTCATTTCTCACATTGCACACAGAGGACATTTTGGAGGTTTTAGATCTTTAGGAAAAAGTGTATGTTACTAGCTATGTGACCGTGAACACATTTAGATTCCCTCTGAGTCTTATTCCTCATAGGGGGCTAAAGAAGGGGTAATAATCCGTCTGACAGAGTTATTTTGGGTATATATTTTGTTTAAAGTAAAATCCAAACTCTTTACCATCAACTACAAGATTTCTGCCTAGTTCTTCGGCTCATCTTGAACAACGCTCTCTCTTCCTTACCACAGAGTTATGCTCTGGCCTTTCTGTTCCTCAACATTCCAAGCTTCTGGCTTCCTCACCTTTGACACTGTAGTTCTGTTTGCCTAGAATGTTCTTCAGGGGTTCCTCATATGGTTGGTTCATTCTCAGATCTTAATGCCCAGGGTCACCACCTCGGAGAAGCCTTCCTTGACTAGTATTCTTTATAGCTCCTTTAGTAATCCCATCTTATCAATTTGTATGTTTTGGACATAACATTTATTACAGTCTGTAATTATTTTGTTTACTTATCTCTGGTCTATCTCCCCACCTAAGTATCATATGGGCAGGGCGTGGTCTGAGGTCTTTGTCTCTCTAACACATCCCACGGGGGCCTCACCACTGAGTCAGGACGTGATGTACGGAAAGTGCTTGTAGTTTTTATGTTGTTATGTACACGTTAAAGGCAAAGATGTGCTGTGTAGATCTTAGAAATCTGTTGGTTTTTTGTGTTGCTTAGTTATCTCTATCTGAGCTAATCTGGTCCGCTGAATAATTTATAGCACTGATAAGGCCAAAGTCCTTGTAACTGCATGGCCCAAATAGCCCCACAGAGAGAGAACTGTCTCTACCTGTAGAGCCATAACCATCTGGGTTCACGCACATACCCAACTGGCTGATCACGAAGATGCACGGGCCTTCGTCACTTCTGGAAGTATAGTGATTTATAGTGTGTGGAGAGTAACCACTCCAAAGCACGTTTCCCTTGATGTTAGCTTACATAGCTTAGTGAGGTAATAACCTCAGTTGTCTGGAACTTTCTGGCATCCTCGGTTATCTGATGTAGAATTAAGCAGGAAGGAAAAACTCCCGTGGAATTAGACAAGACAGAGACCTACATGACTTCGATTGCAGCTGGCATAGGCAGTCTTTCATAGGGATGCAGATCTAGGGTTGAATTTCAGCACTGTGGTTTTGTAAGGTAGGTTTTTAAAATAAACTGTCTTATTTGCCTTATCTGTAAAATCATAATAGTGCCTTTCTCAACGTTGGTGTGAAAATTAAATGAGATAATGCATGCAAATATATGAGTTGAGTGCCTGGAATATACAAGTGCTAATAGCAATAATTAGTTTAAAATATACTGAGATTAGTTAGAAGGAGTATTCTGGTTAATCAGCAGCATCCACGTAAGACGGAGGATGTTAACGAAGCCCTGTGTGGGGAAGGAGTGAGAGACCAAAGGGACAAGAAAAATGGAAGTACAAGAGAAAGGAGGATAGGAGTCTACAGAAGTATTAGTGGTGCCGGCTACTAGAATTGTGAGCATTACAGATGGTGGCAGTGTGAGCAGCGACTGGATGGCTTGGCACTGGGTCATTGCAGTCACTTGGTGGGAGATCTAGAACAAAAAAGGTACTTCACTTCTGCAAGGCCCTGTGCTCTTGTTTTCATACTGTTTGTTTTAATATTGTTTTATCACTCTTAACAGCCATCACACTGAAATTTTTTCTTAAAATTATTAAAAGGACATCACACTTGGAGACTATGTTTGGGGAGCGGTGACTGTCCCATTGTCCCTGGGAGCAGACTCTTGAGTCATAGAGAAGAAAGAAGACAAGACCATATCGCTCTGAAGGCCTGGGAGACAAACAGTTATCTGAGCATCAGTAAACCCTGAAGGTGTCACTATGCCATCCTGAAATTTTTCTAACAGGTAAATTTGGTCATCTGAAGAGACATCTGTCTATATAGCAGTTTAGTGACATGTTATATTTAATATACACACTTGTGTTTAAAGTATTTCTTTTAAGAAGGCAGAGGAATATATGGCTCCTATTAGATAAGATTTCCATCAAAAACAATTTTAAGAGTTTAATGTGATTCTTTAGAACTATTTAGAAAGGGTGTACTCACCAAGTGCTCCAGAGAGCCTCTCATTTGACACTGCTTGTGGTTGTACTTGTCGTGATAGACGTCATTCTGGCCACACTAGTAACATGCTGGGTGGTTGAAACAACAGGGTTGATACGCTTTTAAAGTAAGGTGAGTTCTCACTCGTAGACTTGTTACTTTATATGATTTTCCTTTCGATGGTTATAATAATGAAGGTTTTTTTTTTTTTTTTTAATAATTTTTTTGATTTATTTATTTTTTTCCCCCAAAGCCCCAGTAGATAGCTGCATGTCCATAGCTGCACATCCTTCCAGTTGCTGCACGCGGGATGCGGCCTCAGCATGGCCAGAGAAGCGGTGCATTGGTGCGCGCCCGGGATCCGAACCCGGGCCGCCAGCAGTGGAGCGCGAGCACTTAACCGCCAAGCCATGGGGCAGGCCCAAGGTGTTTGTTATTAAAGCTTAATTTTGGTTTTTAAAGGAAATATCATCCCTTGGACAATAGTTATTTTTGTCTATTGACATTGCTTTTAAAGTAAAAAAATATATATACTTAGGGAAAAACATTATTACCAAATGTCACAGACTGTCAGAATATGTCAGCATGTATCAAACCTAGAATTGTATTAGGACTGTAGTGGTTTTACACATTTGTAGAGTTACTGTGTGTGAGAATTAGAGGGAACCTCTGGTTATTGACCAGCTCCATCCTTATCCAGATGATGAGGAGGTGGAGGCTCTGTTCTGCCAGAGTCACAGCATGGAGTCTGACGTGCGCATCTCTTCTTGCCATTGGTGCAAGTTGGCTTCATTTACTTGTGGGAGCTGGGGAATTTGGATGTGTGTCTTCATGGAGGATTTCACAGTACAGCTGGCTCTTGGAGGGTGACCTGTGTTTGATTGGGAAGAACTTTACGCAGCAGGGGCAGTATCTCAAACAGGCTGAACAGCAGGAGCTATACCATCAACCTAGAGAGTCTTTTCTCCTCTTTCCTACGTGGGGTTACCTATTTTCTGTTTCTTAGTTTACCTCCTTGATTCGATGGAGCTCATCCTCCTAGTAACTTCCTAGAAAGGGGATGGGGGTGTGTGTATATTTTTCTTTTTGAGACCTCGCATGTCAGAAAATGTCTATGTTCTAAATAGTTGATTTATAGTCTGACTGTGTGTAGAATTCTAGGTTAATGTTTTAGTCAGGATGGAGTAGGTTATGCTGCAGTGGCAGATTAACTCTGAAATCTCAGTGCATAAATAAACGGTTATTTCTTGCTTTCACCAAGGCTCCTACAGGCCTGCTGTGGGCTCCTCTGGTGTCTTCTTTGGATCCAGTCTGCTTTCACCTGCAGTTCCCCATCCTATCACTCCATGGCTCCAAGTTACCACAGCAAATGCAAAAGAGAGCTGACAGGTCACGAGCTGGCACTTAAGTATTTGGCCGGAAGTGACACATATCACTTTTGCCCAAAGTCCATTGGCTAGAACCAGCCATATCACCCTGCATGGATGTGGAGAAGTGTGGAGGTGCACAAGAAGAGTCATTGACTGTAAATGTGTGCTGTATTGAAAGTAAATTTTCTCTTGAAATTTTGAAGGCCTTGCTCCACCAACTTCCAGCTTTCAGTGTTACTAGTAAGTCATATGCCATCTGTTTCCCAATCATTTGTATGTAATTTTTTTCTCTTTCTCGAAGCTTTATAGTACCTTTGTATTATCTCCTAAATTGTCAAATTTCATGTACCTGATTATTATTTTTTCTTCTTTGGCTGTACTGAGCATTCCATGGATCCTTTTAGTCTGCAAACTTGTGTTCTTCAGTTCTGGGAAAATTTTAAAATTTCTTCCCCTTCATTTTCTTTCATTTCCTCACTGAAGCTCTTCTTTGTTGGGTGTTGGACCTTCTGGATTGGTATATTAATTTTTTTAGCTTTTTTCTCAAATTTTTAAGTCACTTTTTTGGGGGGGGGGTTGGGAGAAAATTTCCTCAATTTTCCTCTACTGAATTTTTAATTTTGACTGTAGGAGTTTTTGTTTTCTAACTGTTCTCCCACCACTTTTTTAAATAAATAGCATCTGACTGTTTTTTTCAGATTTGTGATACCTTTTCTTAGCCTTGCTTTTTGTTGCCTTCCCTTCCAACAGGCTTGGATTTCAGCTCTGTCCAGTTTGGTTAAGCCAGTTAACACTGTTGTCATTTGCTTTCCAGTTTTCATTGTCCCTGTGTTTTTTGAGGGTAGAGGACATAAAGAAGTATATGTTTCAGGGCTGGCCAGGTGGCGTAGTGGTTAGGTTCGAGCATTCTGCTTCAGTGGCCCGCGGTTCGCCGATTCGGATCCTGGGCACAGACCTACTCACCGCTCATCAAGCCATGCTGAGATGGTGTCCCATATGGAATAGCTACAACTCTACAACCAGGATATACAACTACATACTGGGGCTTTGGGGAGGAAAAAAAAAAAGGGAAGATTGGCAACAGATGTTAGCGCAGGGCCCATCTTCCTAAAAAAAAAAAAAGTATATGTTTCATCAGAGGCTCTTCCAAAGTTTTTTTGTTCTTTTTAATAGTTTTTGTTTGTTTTGCTAGCATCAGGGAATATTAAAGCTTTTTACTTTGAGGGAAACCCAAATCTAATTTTTCTTTAAATAATGGTTTTCAGTTAGTGCTGTCATGAAGCTACATCTATGTCACTGAGCTCTGTGTGACTTAATTATGAAATGCCTGCTGATCTACAGTGGATAATATGAGTTATTTTAAGTTAGATTATTTTAAAAGCATCAAGAGATCCCTTGTTTAGCAACCTATAGTAAGTGATTACTTTTGACAATTAAGTTACTATTTTACAATGCATATAACCTTTCTCATTTTGTAATGTTTTTGTATTATTTGCTTAATAGGGCTATATTACTAATTTGAATAATTACTGCTTTTTAGGATCCCCTTTATCTCTAATGATTAATGAATGAGGTTTACGTTTGCTGTAATATACATTTAATAAATCTTATGTGGATTACTTTTTGTATCCCAAATCTGCTATTCTTAATTTGGGTGTACTTATAGAAAATGAGGAAAAGACTATTTTAACTTAAAGCTCGTATTCTCTAATGCAAACTGTGTGAAAAAATCTTATTTGTTCTATGCAAAAGCATTTGAATAATTGACAAATTGCTTTTTAAATTGGAACTTTTGTGTTAAGATTTAAAGGCTGAGAGCAGTCAAAGCAGTTGTATTACTTTTCAGTGGTTTTTATGTGCATGTTGCTTGTAGAAGTTAAAAATTTTTGCTTTAGTAGTTCAATATATTTAAGAGATTTTATATATAAACAAATTTAAATTTTGAAGAACGAAAAGTAATGAAGGAAATTCATCATTATACTATTGGGTACAGCACCTCTGCCCCAGAATAAAAACAAACACAGATCTTTGGACTCTATTTAATTGTTAGTAGTTTGTCAGAAATTCTCAAAGGCTCTTACCTACTTAGTAGTTTAACCAGTGAGGTCATACTTTCTGATAGGCAGTGAAAGTGGTACGATTGTTTAGGGAATTTGCCATGTTTTTAGCTAAAACATTGGTAAGTGCCTAGAAAGGTATAAAAATGTATACATTAAAAATTTAATATGTATATACATAAAGACAGTGGTGAATCGGTATATAAATGTGCTACTTTTTAAATCCAACGTGTCAAAATCTGAATTAAAAAATTAAGGAGTAGGTTTATTTCATTAATCAATTCTAATAAGCCAGCTCCATTAACATTTTAAATGATTGAATTTATGAACATTTGTTTCATATTCAGTTTATTAGAAATGTATTGAACACAGTTATAGGAAAAGATGCTTAGAAATGCTCACGTAAATGTTATCTGCAGGTTGAATTTTAAGTCTCTGCATATTTTTATTTTCATTGAATCAGATAATTTTAGAGCTGGACGTGCTTGGGAGGTCAACCTCTTTATTTTATATGGGAAAACTGAAACTCAGGAGATTCACGCAGTGTTACACAGCAAACTTAGTGCTACCCTATATTTTTGTGTCAGTAGCCTACAAAGTGGGAGGGAATCACTTGAAAATTTATTAGAGGTTTTTCTATAATTAGAAATTTATTTTTAATTTATTGAATTTTAAATTATATAGCAACTTTAAGTCTGTTTTTCTTAACTTGGTTATTTTTAAATTTCTTTATCCAACTTTGTAGCCATGCAAATATTCATATTGCTCTATAAAATAGAGCTTATCGTGGTAAGATCTAGAGGCTCTAAAAGAAGTCAAAACAATGCTATGACATTTACTGTTTCACTTACTTATATTTTTGTGTTGTTGTCAAGAACTGTGAAGAGTCGGAGATTTTACCTTATGTGCAAGCTAACAAGTTAGCCTGAGACACTTTCCTAGTTGCTGCCAGAAGACATGTGACTCCTGGGCCAGAGATAAAGGACTTTATTACTCAGAGTAGTATCAGAAGCCAGTGCCAGTTCCCTGAGCACTAGTGCCATGTTGAGAAAAGACTGTAGGGGGCCGAAGGAGAAAGCAAGGAAACTAATTAGGAGGCTGTTGCAGTAATGCGAGTGAGATAGGACAGTAGCATGGACCAGTGTGGTGGTAAAAAGTGTTTGGATTCTGCATATATTTTGAAGATAGCTGAGATTGGGGTCATGTGACATATTGGATGTGGAGTGTGAGAGAGAGGAGCCATGGATGGTTCCAAAGGTTTTGATCTGAGCAGTTGGAAGAATGGAGTAGCCATAAGCAGTGGGAAAGACTGTAAGTAGAGCAGGTTTGGGGAGGGATGGATGGAAAAGATCTAGAGTTTTGTTTTGAACGTGTTA